GTACGGTTCGTTGTTGTGTTTTCTCCTTATTTGTATCGTTGTTGTTCCTGTTTTCCCTCTGTTTGCTGTTCTGTTAAACTGCCCTTATCCCGACCCCCCTGTTTCTGCCTCTTTCTTTTCATTCCCCCCCGCACGCCGGCGGGGGGAGGGGCGGCTGCGTGGCGCTTTTGTTGCCGGCGGCAGCCGAAACCGAAACAATGTGCTTAATATTAAGTACACTTCCTACAATACCAACATCTCATTGAATTTATCCAATTGTTGTTTGTTTTCTATATAAAAGGCGTAGCATCGTTTTCTCTGGTGATAATCTCAAGTGCTTTCCATTTCAGGATAGAATGCCATCTTCTTAAACGGGTAGAATATATCTTCTGCTGTTTGTTCCTTAATTTAAATATTGATTGTCTGGATCTCTGTGTTTAAATCTTTGCTTTCTTTTGGTATTTGAAAATCCAGAAAACCTTTGGTGTGCTTCTTTGCAGGAACAGAGTGTGAAGACCTCATAGAAGAGTTGCTGTGTTGCCTCATCCAGCTCATTGTTGAAATTCCTCTCTTGTAAGTTGGCTTTTTTCTTTTCTTGTTTTCCAGCCTCCTTGTATAAACCGAGCATTGGAGAGAATATAAAACTTAAAGAGATGGGGTTAGAAGGTTTAAATACTCATATTTGAATGGTCCATGTGATGGTGCAGTACTGATAACGATAACCTGCTGCCAGTACCAGCCCTGAATATGCTGTTGGAAGAAGTACGTGATCAGCATCTCGCACCCAGTTCAAACCATCTACAAAAGTTATCCTGTTCTGTTTTGTAGGAGTTTTTGCCATTTGTTTCAAATTCCTCTGTCAGCAGGCAGGCAGTTCCTGGTGAGTTTTGCCTAGAAATAGTTGGGCTAATTGTGCAGGGAAGGGTACGCTGGAGGTGTCGCTTCATCCCTGGGGGCTGCAGCAAGGTGCAAGCAGAAGTTCCACCTCTGCAGTTTTGTGGGTTTTTGAACTGCACGTGCATTAAAGAAGTCATTATTTAATACGGTTTTCTGAAATACCAATGAATTGATGTCTGAAGAAGAGAAAAGAGATGAGAAATGACCAAATTGAATGTTTCTGTAGATCTCCAGGTTTGTTTATGTGGCTTTTTTGATGCATCTGCTGTATCTGAGATGTTGATTCCACATCCGTTTGGGATGTGTGTCACGAAACAGACTTCAGTATTACATGAAGCACAACTCACTTTGTTCTTTGGAAATTAAAGTGAATTTCTGCACCTGTCCTGAAGAAGTTTTAACTTCTTTTTTTCCCAAGCGAAGCTTTACCAAATACAGTGTTAGCAGTATCTTTTCTGTTACAGTGCCTATAGTGTAGTGCCCAAATTAAGGCATCACAACTTTGGAAGAGTTTCAGATTATTATCTATTACAGTGTGGTGTATGGCGCTGCTGATGATTCAGTTTTTGTACTTTGGATTGTTCTTTCAGTTGGAAAGCTGACAAAGATGCAGTAGTTTTTGAAACATTGCTCTCATTAAATACAACCCTGTCAACATGACGTGAGGGTTTGGGTAGGTACCGTGTAGTGAATTAGTGATATGATTTTAGTGTCATGCTGCAAAGCTTGTCCGGGCTTCCTGGAAGAGATACGCTTTTTGTTTGGAGCAGATTAGAGGAAGTACAAAGGGGTGAAAGGACTACGGTATATGGGCAAGTTCATAAATCCTGCAGGGTTTTATTTTTCTTTCTTGGAAGTCCCGGCGTACGTGTGGAGTCCAATATCGTTTATTCTGTCTTTCTGGCAGGAAAAGTTTTGCAGGCACGATTGGTCTTAACCCCTTTCAACAACTGAGCCTGTCAGCATCTGTATTTCTGTGTGAACGTGGCTGCTGGGGAATGGAAGTGGCTGTTGAAAGCGCTTACTTTACTATGTGATACAATAATGCCTTATTAAAAAAGAAGTTATGAAGCCTGTCCGTAATATTTAATGTTCAGCTATATTGAAAACATGCTCACTTTTCATAAGCAATAGGGTTGTGGTGGTTTTTTTTGTCAAAGAAGTTTTCTTGGCTACATTTTTCCTCAAATAGCAAGCTACTGAATGGTTAGTAAGATACTAACACTTACGAAAGTGTAGATTATTGTCTTGTTTAGCAGTATAATATGTTTAACAATGTGATAATGCCTTTACTAACAGTTTTATGCCTATGTCATGGAAGGGGAAATAGGGTAGGGGAGAGGAGATACGGAAAAACTTGCTTTCTCTAATACAAAATCCAACTCTCTTGTTCATAAAGACGTTATAAGGCTGAGACACTTCTGTTTGGTGTAACATTATTTTTTTTTCCAAGAGAATGATCAGGACTATTTTAGTAGTGAGTTTGCTTTTTATCTCCCTCCCTCTCCCTGATCAGATTAACACTATAAATTTTTCCCTACTTTATGTCAAGGGAGTAGTTAATTTCTGTCTTTGGCTGAAATAAATCAAGCAAATTACAAGCATAGTATGTGTGTTTTGGGAAGGAATAGGTTGAATGGAATTCATGAAATATTGAAACTTGTAGTGATTTCTGCAGCAGGACTTAGGATCACTTGCTAGAGGGTAGGCAGGCAGCTCTGGCAGCTTACAGTGGCACTGCGAACAGAGTGTCTGTCTGTGAAGCTGCTGTTAAAGATGAGTTTTTGTTGTGACAGACCATGAAGATCTCCATGCTGAGCCTGTCGTTGAAGCGTCGTTCGGAACAGCAATGTTTTTGTTAGGAGCCTTAACAGAGGATTGTCACAATTAGTGTGTCCCTGGGGTTCTGCAGATGCAGTTTCGTGAAGGAGTGGCTACAGCTGGCAGCTGCTGTCTAAATATATTGCTTCTCTACACCCTGGTTTAAGCTTCTTTTTTATCCTCCTTCACTGAAGTAATAAGATTTTTTTTTGAAGCGTGGAAGACCATCTCTGTGTCCAAAATGCAGGAGCAGGGGTACCTGTGCAACAGTCCTGCACTCTTTGCTTTTGCAGTCGTTCTAAATGTCACGTCAGGTGCTTTTTGGTGGAAGCAGTACGCTTCAGAGGTACTATTATTTTTTTCTCTTCTGTATAAATTTCAGATGTCCTGTCTTAATATTTTTTTTTCTTTTGCAAATGTGTTATTGAAGAATGAACAGCATTGCTGGACGATGCTGTGTAGGTATTGTCATGGAGTAGTGAGAAATTTGCGATTACATCATAGATCCTAATTTTCTTCACTGTTGAGTATCACATGGTGAAGATATACAGGTACTGTTGGGAGGAGAACTTAGGATACCTCTGTGTGTTGTATTTTGCAGGCAGGTACGTAATGTTAACCCATGTTCCAGACTGACCAAAAGCAAGAGTAAGAGCTTCGGCTTGGCAGGGGCACGGAGTTCACCAAGGCTTGAGTTTTTTCTGAGCGTGCGCAGCGCTTGCTCTCGCCTCCGGGCTTGCTCTGCCAGAAGCCTTGGCAGAATGAGCTCGTACCTGCCTACAAAATAACCTACAGACGTACTTGGAAAATGCAGATGGGCAGTCTAGCTCAAAGTTCAGGAAGGTGTGAGATGGGGAAGAAGACAAATGGCAAATCTGTAACCCACCTCTCCATATCCCTTGCTATGAAAATGCAACTGAAGAACCAAAATGTGTTGATTTGTGTTGGGAAAGGCGGCAGAGATGTACAGCAAAGGGTGTCTAGGAGTGTCTCAGAATTGTCTGCCATGAATTGAAGAAACGTGTTTCTCAAAGTTTAGTTCATATTGGGAAAGGCAAATATGCTCTAGGGCAGTTACGCTCTGTGTAGCTAAACCAGGTGGTAGTGGGACCATGGGACTCCACAGCATTGTGGCTCCGTCTCTGAGAGTTATTAAAAAGACCTTGAATTACTCTCTTAAAAAACAGGCTCCGCTGCATTGTGGAAAATACCAAGGAAAAAGGTTTCACATATTAACATTTAATTTTAAGAAATTTTATAGAAACTGCAGCATTATTGCTTTTGAAGAATTAGACTTGTGCAGTCCCTTGTAACACTTGCGTTATGTTGATATTTGATTTATGGCTCCCTTGGGTACGTTACGGATACGCTGCTTTTTCTTTGGTTTTGTTAATGTTAACACTCAAGAGTGTACATTAATGATGAAAACTGCATAGTCAGCAAAAAGATGCAACTTCAGTCTTTAATTTTGTGACTTTTATGTAGAAACTATTGCTGAGATTTTGTTACGAGATAGAGCTCCCAAAGCTTTAAATTATAAAGGCTTCTTTCAGCGACTTGTTAAGAGCTAGTATACGTAACTGAACATCTGGTTGTTATCAGTACATTTTCACTTCATTAAAAGCTATAAATGCTTATGGAGGAAAAATGAAATACTATGATCTAGTTACATCCCTGTAAAGTAGCACCCTGTGGTGCCAGTGGAAGCTAATTGATATTTCTATTACATTCCATTATTTTCTATAGTTACAGTTGTTTTGGGTTGCAGTCTTAGTTATTTCCAAACTTAAATACTAACAATGCTTTCACTCATTTAAGGATGATCTACATATTCTGGGAGTTTAAAAGTCTAACGTAGGCAGAAGGAGGGCAATATAGTTGCTTATAAAGCTCTACGGAATCATTGCAGTGTAGGAACGGTGCCGTGTACAGGTGATGAGAAATGTTTAGGCTTTAATTGTGAGTAGCAAAGAGGTTAAGAACTCCTTTCTCTCCTGTTTCAGGAGTGTAAGATTTTCACATTTTTGTTACTTTTGGAACAATAGGTCAGAGTAGTGCTTCTTTAAAAAGGGCTATTCAAGGAACTTTTATCAAGATTGTCGCAGCTCCAGTATTACAAGAGCAATTCGACTTCAGCATTTTTGGCAACTTTGATCATCAAAGGGAAACGTTCATCCATTGAAACCTGGGTTAAAGCTAGGAAAAATATCCACACTGAAAGAGGTTTCTGTTGCTTCACTTTGAAGATCCTCAAAGTTGAAGACGATTGTGCTCTGTGTAGGTGGGATCTGATGAGTATAAAGGGAGTTTTATTCGGTGGTGCAGCAAGTAAAAAAAATGTTTATTTGGAAGATTTTCTTCATCGCTCATATCCTTTTCTCTTTTTTCTGATGGTGGATGTGTGGCCTCTTAAGTGTCTAAGGATCCTAAGCAGAAGAATCTTTATCTGTGTCACATATTCTTCTTTCTGTTCTAATTCTATTCTAATTTAGTTTTTATTTTAGGCTTAGATCAGTGTTTTTCTGTGACCTGTCTTTTCACTAGGCTAGCTTAATTTACATTCAACTTGGAACAAACTTTGTAGTCCCAGAGCATAGTATCAGAGGTCTGTACTGTTTATCATACATCATGCTGTATATGCAAGCTCCTGATATTCTGCTTTCTCTCTTACGGTTTTCAGCCCTGGCTTCACAAGAGAGATTGGACGCATCTTGAAAAACACCCACTTGCTAGGGTTGGGTTTGGTCTCTGGTCTGGGCAGCAAAGGCAGCTAGGCACTGAAGTCAAGCATGGGTTGACTGTCACCTGGGCTGCATCCTCAGCAGCGTGGGCACAGGGTGAGGGAGGGGGTTCTG